TAGTTATTTTGAGAATAACCCATATGGACGTCCATTAAAATCGTACAAAGGATGTAAATATATGGACGTACATATATGTAGTACATCCATTTTTAGTCCGTGGACCAATGTACTTAAAATGGATCTTAAACGGACGTCCATTGGACGAATGGTGCTATCTGGGATCTACATATCCAAGACACATATTATTATTTATTGGATATAGCCGGGTTTGCTATAAAAACGTGGATTTGGCAGGTTTTAGGAGCAATTGCTCCTAAAGCTACCTTTTAATTGTGATTTTAATATGGATATAGTCGGATTTAAACAGAATTATCTTGGTTGTCGATAGAAATGAACCCAAAGATGCGAAATAAAAAAAAAACAAAAACTGAATAGAATGGATTTAGCCGGTTTTGCACGGATGCTCCTCAGTTATCTTTGGTTATAACTTATATATATAAGTGTTGCCGATTGGTGGATAATTCTCCGATTTGCGGATACTTTTGCGGGGTTGCGGATCTCTTTCTAACCCTATTATAAATCGGATAATTTAGGATATTGGCACATAATAACATATTTTAATATCTACTACTTCAAAAAACCATGGTATTTATATTTCTGAAGTTAACGGAAAAAAATGGGGCAACACTCTAATTTGTAAAAAGTTAAAAACTCTAAATAAAGAATAGAAGTTTAACCTATTTTAAAATTCACTGTTTTAGCATTACTCAATGGTTTTATGATAGTATTAATACATCATCTTCAGAATTATGAAGATTATGAGATATTAGGTGTTTTCGCGTTGCTAATCCCGAACTAGTTCGGACATCCTAGGCATGCGCATTTTATGCCCGTATGCACCGTATGGACTTAAGCTCGATTAAGAGTATAATCTCGCTTAGTTCGAAAGTTTGTCATGCACCGAGCGAAAAATGTAGTTTAAGTGTTCGATTACGAGATCCACCAGCGAGGTAGGTTTAATCGCAGGATTAACTGATTTTCTAACCAAATTGATTAGTTTGGTTAGGGTTGGGCTTTCGTTGTAGTGGATTTCAAGGACTAGTATAATAAAATCATGTATTTAAAAGAAGAACTATTTGTAGAAGATGATCAAGATATTCTGGGCATAATTTTGGATTTCCGCGACGAAATTATGAGGAGCGAATATTTTGACACCGTGGACAATTTTTCGTTTTTTGCCCATTTTGATTGACTAAACCCACCGTTCTAACACAGCAAACGGAAAATTATAGAGGTGTATAGGATGACGCCACGTTTGAATATCGATTTCTAAATCTCCCTACGGTATAGAGTGGTATTCGTCAGTCGAGCGTTTCAATACTCTCCACAGTATAGAGGTCGTAATTTCACTTTTGAACTAGTTTTAATATAAAAATTATTTTATGCTTAAAAAAAACTATATACGACATGATTGTGATTTTTTTCATTTTATTAATTAATTAAGCTGTGTTGAATATTTTTCCTAAAGGAATAATTGCCAATGGGCCATTAATTCATTTGTTCGTAGATGCTACAATAACCTGCACTGGTGTGTACTTTTTCATCAACCAGATTTAAATATTACAAAACTATACCAGTGGAGATAGTGCAGGGTCTACCAACAGACCTAGTTACTAAATTATTAAAGTTTAATAGCATATCGATCATTTTTCAACATAACCTCTTAAATTTTTAATACAAATATAGGTACTTTATATAATACATAAATATACTTAACATCATATCCTCTGTGCTTTACATACCTGAGTTGTTACGGTAAATAAAAATCAGACAAAGGAACCAAAGAAAGGAACTATTTTCAACAAAATCATATGGAGAAATGAGAAAATTCATCCATCAAAAGATCAAAACTTCTTGCAATATTACACCCTCTTTTTATACTCTCAGAAATATTGACTAGAACAGTATTAGAGAGACTCCAGTTTCTATAACTTGGTAGAGTAAAGAGAAGTCGAAACCGTTGCGATATTGCATTGCGCTGTTTTTGTATAATTCTCGGGGACATTAACGAAAATCATTGCGAGTAAAATTCGAAAAGCTTGAGTTTCTATGTCTCTGAGGAGAATAGGAATCCGAAGTTGCTGCACCATTGGACTGAACCCTTTTTTAATAATTTCTAGAGACATATATGACTGCACCATTCGACAGGGTCGAGTTTCTACTCCTCTGTTGAATATAGAAAATCAAAATAATGTATCTTGTAAGACACCATTGAGTTTGACTTTAAATATAGTCGTGCATAGGTATAGAGCCGAAAAATATAAAAACAAAGCACGATTCAATACAGTTATGATAAAACTTTAAGATTTGATATTCAAACGCGGAGTCATCCTATACACTTCTATAATTTTTCGTTTGCTGTGAAACTTTCTTAATGAAATTGAATATTGAAGCCCAGTTCTGTTAGTTTATTTTTGTCTTCCAATATTTTAGAATACCTCATAACAATCAGCATTAGATTTTCTTTTCCCGCTGGTGAAAAGTTGGGAATTCTGATCTCCCATTTTATAGACAGACGAAGGATGATCCAAAAAATTGTTCTATATAAAAACTATTGTATATTAGGATTTGCTAACTAGGCTTAGGCTTTAAAACGGTGCATACGGGCATTATTATTTGTAATGCGCACTTTATATTTTGAACGCCAAATTTTAAAAAGCGCATGGCTAGGATGTGAATTAGTTCGGGATTAGCTCCGCGAAAATAGCTATTACAACACCAAGATCCAAGAAGTTAAAGCGAACTAAAAACATTTTTTTAATATAAATTATGTTATTTTTTATTATGGCACTTTGTAATATTATGTGCAAGCAAGAATTCATGTTTTTTTAAGAGTTTATTGTTGTTATTGTTTTAATACTCGTATAAATTATGTTTGTTTATTAATAAATAATTATTTATTTATGTATGCTTTAAAAGCATAATAAAAAGATTTGTATCTTTGTATGTTTTTACTTATTTTTAAAATTGGCGCATTTTCCCTTTTAAAAAATCGGATCCTGGCGGATAGTTTCAGACGTCTGAGTGGATAATTTTAATATATGACATTGGTAACACTTATAACTTATAAGTTATCTAATTGTTTACCTGTATTGTATTGTTTAACTATAGTTATAACTTATAACTATAGTTAAACAATACAATACAGGTAAACAATTAGATCAACAAAACTATAGTTGAACAATATAATACAGGTAAACAATGGGGTAGTTAAATTTTTTCTGACCTATACTTTTTATGGTTTTATTCAAGGCGTTTTGTAATATTAAACATTTCTGTGAAATCAGAATTTCAATTGAGTTTACCGTTTTCGAGATATTTACAAAAAATATAAATTTTATGACGTCACAAACCCCGTCATGTGACCAACATTCTAAGATTTCTATTGGTTGAAAATTACCCTGTTGTCAAGTTGTCTTGTTAATGATTTCATTCGGTTATGTCAGAAAATACCCGAAGAGGTTATGTACAAATACTGTCACTGTCAGTTGAGTGAAAGAAGAAGAAGAGAAGGTTAAAGAAAATTCTGAAATTAAAACTTTTATTGATAGGTTTACACATTGAAACACCGTGTGAAACCTAATAAAATGTAATAAATAGGTACCTAATAACTGTCTAAAGCAGAGTTTAATTTATTTCATAGAAAAAAGTGGCAAAATAAAGCTGAAAATGAATGAAATAAATTTACAAAAAATAATAATATATCTAAAAGAATATAAAGAACTAGGCATTATACCAATGAAATGCATTTACGACAAAATATGATTATAATTATAGGTACATACTTTTTTTGTTTAAAAGCTCCAATGTTCAATGTAACCAACCATTCCACAAGATTTCTCTGCTTTGGAGTCCGTTATTAATAAATCACTTATCTAATATCAATTACAAATAACATAACAATAACATTGATTTTCAATAATTTAAATTTAAAAAAAACAACCCGAAAAAAAGAAACGTCAAAAAATCAATTCTTCTTCTCAACTAAAATATTATAACGTGGCGCCATCTATCGTAAACTAAACACACTGGCAACCATAGAAAAAGCTGGCAACGTTGTCAATAGCCTAGTGACGTAATTAGGAGATTTTGTTTTGTAAATATCTCGAAAACGGTAACCTCAATTGAAATTCCGATTTCACAGAAATGTTTAAAATTACAAAACGCCTTGAATAAAACCATAAAAAGTATAGGTCAAAAAAAATTTAACTACCCCATTATATAGATCTCTGAATTAGATCACTTTAAAGGCGGTGTTGCCAAATGTTTGGCTTTAAGTTTTAAAGGATTCCTTTAAAATTATTTTTTTAAGGGAGCTTTAAAATAAGTGGTTACAGAATAGCAGTTTCCTTTATTTATTTTAGCCGGCCTTTAAAATTAAATTTTATAAAGGACTTTAAAATTAAAAGGAAAAGTTACAGAATAGACCCCTTTCTATATAGGCTACATGGGATATCCATTAGCTGGCCATACACAGACGTTATTGCGCGCGGTTTATCGTGTTATCTGCAAAAACATATGGAAAATCATGTACGTGAGTGAGTATCGCCGCGCGCAATGATAGAACGGGAAGGGATTTCAGACGTGCTTTTCTATGGAGTGTGGCGTGTCCACACGCCACATTCCGCGTCACGGTTTACCTTTGCTTGGCAAAATTTAACGTTGAAAATTTGTACATGATCACATGCAGTTTCAAACGACTCGATAAATGACACTTTTTACCCACTCACATACGATTTTTCCTTTGAAACTGATATACCACGGCCATCACTTGCTAAATCATTTAAATACTTTATCAAGTGTATGGAACATGACGCTTTTTTTGCCATGCCGTTCTTTCGTGCATACTAACCGCTACATCCCAACACGCCACGATAAACCGCGCGAAATAACGCCTGTGTATGGCCAGCTATTCACGGATAGATGTCAGCACTAATTTTTTTTGCCGGTAAATATGACAACTGACATTTAGCTAGTGTATAGAATTTGTGAATATGGCTGAATAAAAGTTTTTATCTTTTTTAATAAAAAAGTAGTTAATAATTGTGAAGTATATTGTGTATGATCTTATATATAACGTAAAAAGTGAGTAGTAGTAAATGATTATGTATTTACTTGGACAAATAATAATAAAACAATTCAATGTCATTGTATATGTAAACATAAAAGATTTGTAATATTTGATTATAAAGTACCTACTTATTATTAAATAAAACCAGTAATCCGTCTTTAAGGAAATAAGGTTTTCCCTAATACATTTTGTCCATACTAATATTTAGACTAATTCTAATTGGTAAAATAATTCATCAAAGGGTTTGACCTATTATCTATATAATTTATTTATACAGAATAAAATATCTAAATATTAATTATCTAAATATCTAAATTTAGTAGTGAATAATCAAATATTTGTGGTTACACTGTTCTTATGCACACAATTTTTAAATCAAAGACTTAAAGCAGATTTATTAAGTAAAACTAGTTAATCCATCTTTAAGGAAATAACTTTTTTCTTACATTTTGACCATACTAATTCTAATTGGCAAAATATTTCATTAAAGGGTTTGACCTAGGTATTATCTAAATAATTTACTTATACTGAATTAAATATCTAAATTTCGTAGTGAACAATCAAATATTTGTGGTTACATTGTTCTTATACATAAAATTTTTAAATGATCGAAGACTTAATTAAAGCCTTAAGGCTCTCATAAATATGTTAAAAACTAAAAATGAAATTAAAAGTTTAAAATTTATTTAAACAACAAGCCGTAGAAGTATGTTGTAAAAAATACTACCTAATTTGGATGGTTAATTTAATTAATTAAATTGATTTATGTGTTTGTTAAACAATCACAAGTAAGTAGGTACTAGGGTACATATTGTGCTAAATACAAAATATTTGGATTAAATTTAAATTTTAAAAATTACACATTAGATATTGTTGTGTTACGCAGAAACCTATTTCAAGTCACTTATAAAAGCATTTCTTAAAAGGATCATGTTTTTCAAAGCTGTGTTAGCTCCTGGGCCTTGCGCCCAATTTTATGTAGCAGCAAACATGTTAACAAATTTGTATTTGAAACATAAAACAAAGTCGTGAAATTTATTTCTTATAAATAACATTATCTAAATGTGCCCCATTTCTGTCCGGGCACTTCTAAAGCCGACCTCTAAAATTCTAAAACCCTTGCATTTCTTGCCAAATATTAGTTTTAAGATCTTCCAGAGTCACGGGGCCGTTACGGTATAAAAGCGGTTTCATATAGATGCGAAATGCTAAATACGAAAAATGTTTTCATTGGTCCATTTGATTTGGCGGGAAAAGTGTTTTGACGTTTCGACAGATCCTGCGAATTTGCAAGATTTGATATCTGGGGGCAGGAATCTTAAGATTGATTCAATATTTTGCGAAAATCGCACGAATTTGTCGTGATGCGCATGCGTATTAATTAATTCTGTCTTCGTTTCAACAATAAATAAGCGCAATTGACGTCTTCGTTGCCAATGGTATACCTAATTGCCACTGGTATAATTGTTGATCCATAATAAAAACACAACATCTCAATTTACATAAAACAACAAATAGAAAATGTCAAATATCACCTAGTAAATTTTTTTTATTTTTGACCTTTGTTGATAAGTTTTGTATTTATTATATCTAAATACCCCCTTCCTGTTAGGACCCATCGTATTTTTTTTTAATTACTTTGTGTTTCTATATATGGCAGAAAAACTAGGTAAAATGTCCTGTAACCTAACTGTCCCCAGAGGCGATTTTTTTATTTAAATTATTATATTCTTCTTTGCAGGTTTCTTCTGAAAAAATAAATTATTTTTGAACAATGGAAAGTTATTCGCATATAAAACTAAAATATTTTTCTACAAAGTAGTTTAAACAGAAAAAAATATTAAAGTTGACAATCAAAAATCTTGTCTTTTTCCTAACGTCGTCTTCTATGCCGACTGCTTCGAAATAGAGACACGAGATACTAGCGTTTTATTTCTAGAGGGCATCCAAAAAGTGAGCACGTGTAAATTGTGTGAATTTTTTTGCGTACACTTTTTGGTGTCTTTTACATAACGTTACATACAACTCTTGTTTTAGAAGTTAACTTTTTTATTTTCATTTTGTATTATAGCATAGTAGAAATGCCCAACAAATGCCGAAAGATTTTTACATTTAACAGTATTTCTGAAAAATAACGTTTGAAAAAGTCAAAAGCAATGTGTTATAAAACGTTCAGGAAGATGCGTTAGGAGGAGGACAATGTTCCATTTCTTCCTTGTGTTCCTTCCCTATTTCAGATTAACCCTATAAGTTTTATTTCTTTAAAGTTTATTTTTGTTATTTATAAACTTATATAATTTTCTTGCAGTCTATTACACTGTTCTATCACAAAGGAAAAAAATTGATCAAAATGACCTGCCTGGACAAAATATATACAGTGTGTTATGTAATTAATGTTATATATTAAAATACTGAATACCTTTTGACATAAGGAATAAAGGAAAAATATTTAAAAAAACATTTTTCCAAAGATAAAGAAAAAATATGCATTAGAAGTTTTTTATATTTTTTGTGATACGCCACTTGTTACACACTTGTTTATCTCTGCACAACTGTATTTTGTGAGTACATAGATACCAACCAACAAAGTAGCCATGCGTTGCCAGATGTAAAAAATTGTTACTAAAAATTTTTCTTGCAAAAAATAAATAAAAACTCAATAAATACAAAAGTTTTATGCCCTTAAAGCTCTAATACCCTTCTGTATTTATTTACTGATCCAGCTGTTAGCTTAAGCAATGATTAGAAAATTTAGTACCTTTGAAATTTGAAATCCATAACCACAAAATTAATTTGTAACATAACACCCTGTATACAAAATGTACATTTAACGAAAATTCGCCCAGATACCAACCAACAAAGTAGCTGCGCGTTGCCAGATGTAAAAAATTGTTACTAAAAATTTTTCTTGCAAAAAATAAATAAAAATTCAATAAATACAAAAGTTTTATGCCCTTAAAGCTCTAATACCCTTCTGTATATATTTACTCATCCAGCTATTAGCTTAAGCAATGATTAGAAAATTTAGTACCTATTTTAATAATCCATAACCACAAAATTAATTTTTTCCACGGTTTTTTTCTTTCTGTTTACTCAGATGAAATTGGGACCAGTTCACAGGTTAAACTTTAAACATTTAATTTGTGTAAATAAATCCAAAAGCACTTCCCTTAGTTAAGATATTTACAATTTGAGCACATAACCTAAAATTTGAAAGAATTGCACTAGATTCTGTCATAAAAGTTGGCAGATTTTGTTTGAATTTACCTTCAGTACAAAAATTACATAACGAACAATTAATAAAAACGCCAAATTGACAATTTGCATTGTTGATTTTGTCATTTTTGTAATTAAGCTAAATTTAAACAATGCTTGGCAACTTTTTTGAAAGAATTTGGAAACGCTGTTATTACCAACCATAACATAATAAATTAAATTAGGCAACCAGATTAGCCTAAAGTTCCTAGTCGATTAGTGGAGTACTTTTTGGTAGGATAAAGGTTATTATAAATTATTTTTAGTCTTTGGAATTTAGAAAAAAAATGTTTCAGGTGCTTCTTTATGGACCCTAAGGAACAACCCATTTTAATATATAACATTAATTACATAACACCCTGTATTTTAATAGGTAAATTCATTGGCTTCTTTCTTTTAAATTTAATTTCAAAAATAAATTACTTGTTGGATCACCCTGTATAATAAGGTTTATATAAAAAGTTGAGAACTGAGAACCATGATAAAAAATCTTATGTTAGGGACCAAGTATAATTTAAACAAACTTCTTGTAAAGCTGTCCAGTTAACTGCATACTATATTTAACACGTTAAACTACCATAAAATTATGATATACATATGTCACAAGCTAAAAATATAATATATATATTATACCTTGCATTTAACGTCTACGTCAAACAAGATACCTATTCGCAGTTAAATATCCGGAACGTTCTATTCCTTTAATTGGAACAATAACAAACGTTATCCAAAGGTTTAAAACAAAGGGTTGTATTTTGGGGTGTAAATGTCACAGTACTCCCAGAATTGATGTAGATGCGGAGATGAAAGAAATAATGGTTTGTGCAATGGTAGAAGAAGATTCAAATACATCAATTCCTAAAATAGCCCAAGAGACCGGCATTAGTGTGGGTAAAGTCCACAAAATATTAAAAAAAAATATCGTTCCTATAAATACCAAGTAGGTACATCAGGAAATTTTTCAAGACGACGAGTAGGTACCGGAGAATGGAATTTGGTGAAAATATGATTTGAACATTTCATTGAAAACATAGTATTTACCGACGAATCTACATTTCCATTACATGGAAAGCTCAATCCTGCTATTGTCCGGTACTGGTCTATTGAAAATAAGTACAGGCAACTAAACTTAAAGACTCAGTATCCTTGAACGTGTGGTCTGGTATTTATGGGAATAATATTATTGGTCCCTGGTGGCAATATAAATGGAGCGAGATATTTGGATCTTCTTCAAAATAGAATTATTCCTGCAATCCAAAACATAACCCCAAATTTGGATAACGTTTTGTATCAACAGGACGGTTGCCCATCACATAACACAAGACTAGTGATGGAGGATTTACAAGAGATTTTTCCTCAAAGGATAATTTCTACCAGGGGCGCTATTCGCTGGCCAGCAAGGTCGCTAGACTTGGCTCCTAACGATTTTTTACTATGGGGATATGTAAAATCTACCTTGTACCGTCATGTAAAAATGAATAATTTGGCGAATTAGAGGCAAGAATGCATACAGCGTTTGAGACAATTACTCCAGATATGGTAGCTAATGTTCGCACCGAATTTTATGACAGACTGGGCTTTTGTTTGACGCAATTTGGGGGAACGTTTGAAAATAGGTTTTGAATAAACTATTCAAAGCTTGTGTTCACATAATAATTTATTGTTTTTATTATTTTTATTATTTAATTAATTTATTTATTTATTTACATTTATTTTAAGAAGTTTGATTTTTAGTTTTGTTTTAAGAAGTTTGATTTGT